AATATCCAAGGGTAATAATCATGCAAAGACCATGAGATTTTCCCATTATCTGGTGCACAATATACGATAGCTTCTGGTACAGAAACTGAAAAATATACCCTGGATATAGGAAAAAAAAGTGAATTAATTTTACTAACAGGAGCAAATACTTATGTATTTATTTCTACGTTGCCATCCCAATACTTCCCCCCGCCCATAGTGAGAGGTGCAGCAAATAGTGTTGGTATAAATTAAACGTAGTTACATTTTCTCTCCTATTCCATTCTGTCCTGTCTTTAATTCCTGGTTACCACTTCATTCTGTTTCTGTGCTTTGGGTATCGCTGCTTTCCCAAAAAACATGCATGCAGTTAGCTAAATAAAACAGTTAATTATGTATCCTATACATAAGAAAACATTGTACAGCTTTCTCGCAGCCCAGATTCAAAGCTCTCCCCAAAGAGAAAAGTGGACAACACTTTTCAACCCAGAGAGGGCTCTGTGAGCCTCTTAGGTTCTGCCATGGTACCATGTCATCACTGGCAGGTGGACAGCTGAAATACAGGCAGTCCTTGACTTACGACCGCTCACTTAGCAACCATTCAAAATTACAATCGACCTCCTCCACCACCAAAAAGATATTTACAACTCAGATTTGAAATTCCTATGGCTGCCTCATATCCCCCCCACCCACACCCACCTAATTACATGATGACATTTTAACGACCGCCATGTTCGCTCTCAAAACTTTTGTAAAAAAAAAAAAATGTCAGAAAATTGGGCAGGTCAGGTGGGTGCCTCAACGTACGACTGTTATGATGTACGACAGAAATTCCAGGGTCCATTATACTCATTAAGACTACATTAAGCACCCTGGACTACAAGGCGATCAAACCAGTCAGTCCTAGAGGAGATCAACCCTGATTGCTCTTTAGAAGGCCAGATCCTGCAGTTGAAACTCAAGTACTTTGGCCACCTAATGAGAAGGAAGGACTCTCTGGGAAAGATTGAGGGCAACAGAAGAAGGGGACGACAGAGAATGAGGTGGCTGGATGGAGTCACTGAAGCAGTAGGCATGAGCTTAAATAGACTCCAGAAGATGGTAGAGGACAGGAAGGCCTGAAGGAACATTGTCCATGGGGTCGCGATGGGTTGGACACGACTTTGCAATTAATAACAACAAGCACCTTCAGTCAGTCGTGCCTTGCATTCTGGGGTTTAAAGGATATAGAGAGGCCTTAAATCTTTCTTCCCCAAATGAGAAAGCTGGTCTCAGTGGGTGTGACTCATTCAGGGGGCTTCAAAGGGGACGCCTGGGGAGTGATGCAGCTTAGGTCTTTTCAAGACTTACCTCCAGATTGTGCTCAAAGTAACTCAACTGGTTGGGCTGGAATGTACTATAGATATTCTCTAGATATTCCCGGAAACATTTCTCCTCTCGGGCGAACAACTGATCCTTGTTCATTTGGTAATTCCAAGGGGGACGTTTGGGAAAATCAAGTACTATTGGAAAAAAACGAAAAACATAAGAAGCATCAGGAACACTTGCCAGCATCATAAAGGAAGTGAGAATCAAGTCCTAAGACAGGGGTGTCAAACTCAATTTCATTGAGGGCGGCATCAGCATTGCGGTTGCCCTCAGGGGGCCGGGTGGGTGTGGCCAGGTTGGGTGCGGCCTACTGGGTGGGCGTGGATGGAGTGGGTGTGGCCTATTGGGTGGGCGTGGCCAGCTCTACATCGTTCGCGTCAAGGGTGCCTGTGGGGGCCTGGGCAGGAGTGGGACAGATCTGAGGGTCTCTGGCAGAAGGGGGTGGGACCAGGGCAAGTGCCAAGGCATGGTCCACTGGAGGAGCCTCACTGTTCCTCTCAGGCCATGCGGGGGGGGGGGC